ACTTCCTGCTAATCCATATCTTCTGTGGCTCAGCCATGTGAGATTTTCGTAACAGGGTATCTTCGATGAAGGTCTGCACATCTCCCTGTTTTAACATGTATTATTTGTGGTATTTTTTAACATAGAGTGAAAAAGAGTGCAGCCATAGAAGTCTCAAGAGAAATTATTGCTGTTTGTTTACCAAAATTACTCTCAATGAAGACCAAAGTTCCAGATCATTCGCTCCTGGGAGAAGTGCTCCAGTGTATGGAGGTGAAACAGCATGACTGACTCTCCATCTCCCCTTAGGTTCAGCTTCCTCCCTCCCACCCTACATCCCTGACCTAATTCTAACTTTAATCATAAACTTCAAAATGGCATTCTCATCCTCCCCTATGTATATGGTATCAGGTAGAAAGTTGATATTCTTTGGAAATCAACGGAAAGAATGACCTGAGTAGTATTATCATTCCTATTAAAAAAAAAAAAAAGAACAATAGTAGGTTTCACAAACTAAACTCCTACAAACGAACACTGTTTCACATTTGCTTCATCTGCACATAGAAGAGAGTTATGCCTTGCCACTATATTACTAGGGCTGAAATCATGTTACATATCTGCATACGTATGAATGCTTATCATATCAGCTATGGGTTTATATCATTATCTGAAGGATTCCTTCCATCACCACCCCATATCTTGTGGCTTCCTCAGGATCTGTTTTGAACTGGTAGTATGTATAATAGAAGTTGTTTGCTGTAGCCATGTGGAAGGGAAAGCATGGAGTAAAACACAAACCTTGCGTCCAGACTATTTTTCAATGAAAGCTTCTAGCCGCCTAGAGTGGTCACAATGACCAGATAGGCGGGGTATAAATGAAATAAATAAATTAATTAAATTAAATAACAGTGTTATGGTGAGGTAATGGAATTTAAAGTGGCAAAATGTTCATTGACTCTATAATATAGCTGTAGTTCCCAGTGTTAAAACTCATAGTTCTTGAGCTCTAATTCCTAGAAACCATGAGAAATATAACTTCTTTGCTATGGTAAGTAAAGTTCCTGGGTATTACACTTCAAACAGATTTATAGAGCCACAGTTAGGGTTGTCTAAATCTGTTTTTCAAAGGGAGGTATATGCCCTTTTTCTTTTAAGGAAGGTGAGCATCGCAGGTGTATTCCTTCACAAATATCACATCATAGTTAATTTTTAAAATAATTAATGTTACTCCCTAAATATTATTTTTAATATTTAAAATAATAAGTTCATTAGAGATGAAAAATGATGTTTAACATCCAAGTTATAATTGCAGCTTACTTTGCCATGTCTATGCCACACTTGGTACCACCTCATTAATAGAGCAATTTGCTCTTGCCTATCTTTCACAGAACGATTCATAAATAATAACAAGAAAATGTAAAAGCACTGCCATCACTCTTAGCCACATTAAGAATCAAATTAAGGCTAAAATAGAGTTCAGACTAGACTACCTGTAAAAAAAAAAAACAGAATTGATTAGCTATGACTTCGGTCTTAACACATGATATAAAACCATACTGAAGTTCAAGAGGATGTCTAATCAGAAAAGGAAAGAGGAAACTGATTTAGCTGGGAAGGCAAGATTTTGGTACATTGCCTTATGCCCAAGAATTTGGGCATCACTCTGGATCAAACCACGACCTACCAAAAAACAGTGTCTTAACACTGAACAGAAAGGTGCCACCAAATAACATACTTTGGAAAATGGCAGGGTGAGGCTGGGGAGCATACATCCATGAACAATAAGAATAATAGCTTTGCTACTCCAGAGCAGGATATGCTAGTGCCATATGGTATAAATCAACACATGCCAAACAAGTAGATGTAGCTCATAATGAATCATATAGAATCATTATTGGCTGCTGGAAACCAACCCTCACTGAACACATCTATTATCTGGATGACATTGCCCCTCCTGACATACATTGAGTAGTGCTAGCAAATAATCAACAAAATAAGGAAGAAATTCAATGGATCATCAAGTCCAGCCCCTCTCAAGGAGGCACAATGGGGAACTGAACTCCCAACCTCTGGATCCACAGCCAGATGCCTGAGCCATTGGTCAATCCAGCAGATGAACATAAGAACATAAGAAGAACCCTGCTGGATCAGATCAAGGGCCTACCTAGTCCAGCTTCCTGTTTCTCACAGTGCCCCCACCAGATGCCTCTGAAAGCACACAAAACAATTAGATATCTGTCTCCTGATACCCCTCCCCTGCATCTGGCATTTTCAGGTACCTTCCTTTTAAGCTTGGAGATTTTACATCCCCATCATGGGTTGTAACCTGAGATGAACTGTTTCCTCCAGAAATGTGTCCAATCCCCTTTTAAAGGCATCTAGGCCAGATGCCATCACCACATCCTGTGGCAAGGTGTTCCACATACTAACAACATACTGGGTAAAGAAATGTTTTCCCTGGTCTGTTCTCACTCTTCCAACACTCAAATTGAGTGGATGTCCCCTGATTCTGGTATTACAAGAGAGGGAAAAGAACTTCCCTCTATCCACTTTATCCATCCCCTGCATAATTTTATACATCTCAATCACATCCCTCCTCAGGTGCCTTTTCCCTAGATTAAAGAGCCTCAAACACTGTAGCCTTTCCTCATAAGGGAGGTGCCCCCAGCCCAGTAATCATTTTAACTACTGCACCTTTTCCAGTTCCACTATGTCTTTTTTTGAGGTGCAACGACCAGATGACAGCTAAAATCCTTTTCTACAAATGATTCAAGCCAGAATTATTAAACAAGAGGATAGGTTAAACCTATGGAGAACAAAAACAACACACTGAGCTGAATAGATGAAGGACAAGATTCTGTCTGGACTGTCTGGAACTCGTCAATGGACTTCCTAATTGAAATAGGAAGACCAAAGACTAATCACGTAAAATTGGGCTACTTGAATACAGCACATTTTTCATTGCGACTGTGGAGAAATTTAATCAAAGAAGCATTTATATGTGTGCAATTTACAGCCCACCACATGGACTAAAGAAGATCTAGTAAATAACTGAGATAGCACTATTGAAGTAGCCCATTTCTGGTCAAAATCAGTCTAAGCATTTTAACATTTTAAATTTGTTTGAACATCATCTACAATTCATATATGTCCATAACAAATATATATTTCTTTCCTTTTCTCTCTATGTTTAACAGAAACACTGCTGACTGAGGTAATATAGAATTTCTCTTTTCCCTCCACATGTTTTCTCTGTGCACTTTCCTCACCCCTCCCATTAATCGCCCCGTTGCTTCTCCACTACCTGCTATTTCTGTGTAACCATTTTCCACTGAGGAAGTAAATTTGTCCATGAAAGCTCACATTAAACATAGTCTTTATTGTGCCACAATGTTTTGTATTCTTTATTTTTAATTTCCCTTCTGTTTTTGCCTGACATACTAGCAAAGAGTAAAACAACTACTTTTTCTAAAACTACTACCAAATTACACTGCATTACTTATTTTATTTATTTATTTTATCCAAACTCTACCATACAGGAGATTATGGGCTGATGGACAGCAAACTAAAATTGTTGTCATTTAGTCGTGTCTGGCTCTTTGTGACCCCATGGACCAGAGCACGCCAGACCCTCCTGTCTTCCACTGCCTCCCGGAGTTGGGTTAAATTCATGTTGGTCGCTTCGATGACACTGTCCAACTATCTCATCCTCTGTCGTCCCTTTCCCCTCTTGCCCTCACAGTTTCCCAACATCAGGGTGTTTTCCAGGGAGTCTTCTCTTCTCATGAGATGGCCAAAGTATTGGAGCCTCAGCTTCAGGATCTGTCCTTCCAGTGAGCATTCAGGGTTGATTTCCTTTAGAACGGATAGGTTTGTTCTCCTTGCAGTCCAGGGGACTCTCAAGAGCTAAAATAGACGGATATTAAAAATGTATAATAGAAATGATCAGCAAATGCTTATATTAAGAGAAAGTGCTGTATGAATAACTTAAAAAACAGGTAAGTGCATGTACAAACTCAGGTGAACTCATCAAGATGGTCCTGCTGGCATACAAAGGATCATACTCCTGGAAGACTACAAACGGATGCTGGACACATGTGGAACCACCAGGACAGCCTGAGCAGAAGATATCAGTGATCAAACTGGGTGAAAAAAGAGAAGATGCACCCTGCAGTATACTAGTCCTAAATCATTTAGGAATGTAGAGATGGAGTGGGGAATGTGAACAATCAAACATAAAGGATCTAGAGCAAACATTCAGAGAGGAATACCTATCACATTGATATAAGCTTAAGAGGGAATAATCAACACTCAATTTGGCATAGACAATCATTCATGTGCAAAGTTGATAAAATTATTTCTTCAGACATTAACTCGGATGATGTTGTGAGAAAAAATGCACCAATTTTAAAATATTCCACAAAGCAGCTTTGATTTCATTGTTTCTCATGCTGTAGATGAATGGATTCAGGGTGGGAGGAACTATGGAATATATCACACCAGAAGCCACATCCAGAGCAGAAGGAGCATCCCTGGATGGAATTACATGAGCAAAGATCCCTGTTAATACATACACAGAGACAATGGTGAGATGGGGAATGTAGGTGGAGAGAGCTTTTTTCTGTCCATGTACAGATGGGATTCTCAGCACTGTGGCAAAGATCTTCAGGTAAGTTATTATAATGAAGACAAAGCATCCTAGTGCTACACCACAACTTAGTGCAAGAAACCCTAATTCAGTTAAATAAATAGAATAGCAGGAAAGCTTTAATAAATGTGGGATTTCACAAAAGAATAAATTGATAGTATTAGAACAAAATGTGTTTGCAAAGGTGCCACCTGTATGCAATATGGCAAAAAAAATACTAACTATCCACCCTTTGGCCACCATCTCAAGGCAGGTTCCCTTGTGCATAATTCTCTCATACTCAAGTGGGTAGCAGATTGCAATATGGCGATCATGTGCCATTATAGTTAGAACAATAAAATCCAATGGTGCAAAAAAGATATATAAGAAAACCTGAGCAACACACCCAGAATAAGTAATGGACCTGTCATCCATGAGGGACACAGAAACAGCCATTGATTTGGGGACTCTGACTGAGATGGAGCCAATTTCTATCATGGCCAAGTTAAACAGGAAAAAGTACATGGGGGTGTGCATATGGTAGTCAATGATGATGATGATGATGATGTCTATCCCTAAACATAAACATAAACCTTTCTCCTTTATGTTTAACAGAAACACTGCTGTTTGGGACAAAACAGGACTCCCCCTCCCCAACTTTCTACCAGCCCTTCCCTCACCTCTCTCATTAGCCATCCCCTTGCTTCTCCATTAGTTGTTATTACTACTACGGGGGCGCTCACTACCTTGGTGCATGTGCTCGTAATCTCAAGATTAGACCACTGTAACACACTCTACATGGGGCTGCCTTTGAGGCTGATGCGGAAACTTCAGGTGGTGCAGAATGCGGCGGCCAGACTCCTTAGTGGTGTGAGAAAATACCATCATATCTCTCCTACTCTGGCCATGCTGCACTGCCTGCCCATTCGTTTGCGCATTGACTTCAAAGTTTTAATGCTTACTTATAAGGACCATGAGACCTCGGGGCTAGGAACTTGCCCATTTATTTGGTAAGGGGTCCGTTGAGTCCTCTGTGCAAAACCTGATTCCGCACTTCATGGTGGGCAATAATAAATATTCAATAAAGTGTGGCCCGTGTTTATTGCATAATGCTTCTCTTGCGTCATTATTCCAGGGTAGGGGGACCAATAGTTTTTCCCACTCCATGGGAGTCAAATACAACAATAATGAATGAAATCACTATAACGTCATCATTTCCATGGTGTTCAAAAGAAGAGGTGAACTTTGGCAGGCTTCCATATACTGATTTGGCTCAAATTAATAAAGTAATTGACAAAGAATTTCTGGCTGAACCTCTAGCCAGGCTTCAGCCCTGAAGTCAATTTCTTGCCATCAGGAAAGATCATCCAAGGATTTTCCTTTGCCTTCTCAAACATGTGCTCTCAGGTAGTGTGGACGTTGGTGAAACTCAATGACCTTCGGCTCTTTTAGGCAGCTTCCTGTAACTGCCACCATACACAAAAGGCAGCAGCTGAGAAGCTTCTACTGTACCTGCTCTTGACAGCAGCCTACTTTATACAATACATCCATAGATATATAAAATAGTGATCATCTTGATTTGCAGGTACTTCATGCAATTGGCACAACTAAATGGAGATCAATAGGGAAAGATGTTGAGACTGATTTCCAGTCTCATTGAAATGTATGTGTTTTAGGTATACTCTATATCTTCCTAAATCACATTTCCTAAATCACTTTATCTCTCAACTGCTCCCACTGTCATGTCTTGATTTTTTTTTCCATGTACGCCTCTGTGCCATATATGACTTTTAAAAAGTAAAATAACAAGAAGAGGCTGAGAGGAGGGCATGACATTCCCATCATGTCACTTTTGTCCATCTGCAAAGCTCCCACAGCACATCCGTTCACACCACAGCGTACCAGATTAAAACACAGAAAGATGTACATCTGCTTGGACATGTGCTATAATTGGAGGCATGCCTGTTTGCAGCTGATATTCAACAAATATTTTTCTCCCAGTTTATTGGGACACTGTTGTTCTAGTCCAGGAGATGTAAGGAGATTTGGAACATTCACTTGAAAATTCTGGAATTTAGATTCACATATATGCACCAATTAACACAATTTATTTATTTATTTATTTATTTATTTATTTATTTATTTATTTATTTATTTATTTATTTCACTGATAAATTATTACATTCAGGAGATTTTGGAGTGATGGACAGCAAATTAAAACAGACAAATACTTAAAAGTTACAATAGAAACAGTCAATAAAGGCTTATATGAAGAGAAGGTTCTTCATTAAAAAAAACAGAAACAGCAAGTGCATATATAACTTTAGATACAATTATACTAATCAAGAGGGAACTGCTGATATACAAAAGATCATACTTCTTGGAGTATCCAAGTAGATCCTCGCCACACATGGGACCATGAGGCTTTCCATGGTCAAGCAGAATGGACAGTGAGAAGATAAACTTCAGTAAACTTTTTGGGAATGTAGTAGCAAAATGATGAACCTGGCCCATTCAAAAATGAACAGCCACTACAGACCCTTTAGCAAAAGTGTTACCTGCTGATGTAAATACAGATATATTCTGTTATATATAAACAGAATGACCATTGTCAATGGTTAAGCAGACACATTTTGTACAAGCCTTCATTTTCAAATCTGAAGCCCAGCAACATCCAGAAAGCCACACATTACCTATCCTTGTTGTAAAGCTGATGCAATTAAACCAAGTTCTGTTTAGCAGCTGTGGCTAACTGCATTTCATTCCACTTCTACATGTTGCAGGAAAGACCATGAGAAGCTCAGTGTAGGGGTGAATGTGGGTCCTTTTTGCATTTAATTTCAACTGTGTGATAATTAATTGAAATGACTGCTTCCTTCTTTCCTTGAAATCCAGAGCTATTATAGCTCTCTTAATCTCAGTTCTGCATTTTTCTATCATGACTTTGAAGCATTTTCACCATATAATGCATGCAAGGAAAAAAGCACTTTTTTCTCTCACAATCAAACATTCATATTATTATTATTTATTCTATTATTTATTCTATTCAATTACACTTCATTCTGGAATTAAGCCTAAATGTGATAAACGCCAGCTGTGATAAACACAGACTTCTAAACTTTTTCCTAGGGGCCCATACAGTTTTATAGGGCTCTTAGAAGAACTTCAAGGCATCAGGCTCCTTAAACTGACAATGATAACATGTAGACACTCATTTTATAGTATCCATAACCATCACACCAGAGAAGGCTGATCCAAACGTTCAGGCGACTAGGTAAATGGACACCAAAAGCTGAGAACAGGGTATTTTATTCAGTTCAGTCCAAGTGTTAAATGCTGAGGTACCTACAGATACAGAGTGGCGATTGAACATAGTTAGGCAGCCACATTTCGTACCAGTTGCAGGATCCAGACAAACATCCTATATGTCAACATCTTATTTCTAGTCCCAAATAGGACAGATCCATTAAATCAGTGGTATTTTAAAAAGTGTTCATATACCATTTAGCAATTGAAGCAAAGGAACTGTTTTGTACTTCAGATTAGTAATAGAAATTATTCTATTCTGGGCAGGAATTCTTAACCCTCCACTCAGGATCTATTCACCCTGACATATTTGACATTGCAACTGGGAAAACTACCAACCATGTACTGTTATCATTTGTTATACCTCCTCCTACACGAAAAATTCCAGGTTTTGCCCATGTGGGCCTTCACTCTGTAGAGAATGAACAGTGGTTCTTCTCTCAGACAAAGTAGGTATTTTTCTGCTATGAAAATCTATGAAATCAAGCATAAAGGATTTGAAGAAACATCCAGAAAGCAATTTATGTGAGAGATCCATGTATCCTCAAAACAAAGTGTTGATGCTCAAGATTAAAAAATCGTAGAAACATGTACATGTAAGACGACACAATTAGATGATCAGAAAACAACTTTAGAGGAAAACACCAATTTAAAGAGTTTCCACAAGGCAGCTTTGATCTCATTGTTTCTCATGCTGTAGATGAATGGATTGAGTGTGGGAGGAATTATGGAATACATCACAGCAAAGGCCACATCCAGAAAAGAAGAAAAATCACGTGGTGGTATTACATAGGCAAAGATTCCAGTCAACACATACAGAGAGACAACAGTAAGGTGAGGAATACAAGTGGAGAGAGCTTTTTTCTGCCCCTGAACAGATGGGATTCTCAGCACTGTAGTAAAGATCTTCAAGTAAGTTATGACAATGAAAACAAAACATCCTAGTACTACACTAGAGCTTAGTGCAAGAAGTCCAACTTCCGCTAAATAAATATTGGAGCAAGATACCTTTAGTAAGTGTGGGATTTCACAGAAGAACTGATTGATACTGTTAGAACAGAAGGTGTTTGCAAAGGTGCCACCCGTATGCAACATGGTGTAAAAAATACTAAATATCCATCCAGCAGCAATCATCTTAAGGCAGGTTCCTTTCTGCATAATTCTCTCATATTCGAGTGGATTGCAGATTGCAATATGGCGATCATGTGCCATTATAGTTAGGATAATAAAATCCAGTGTTGCAAAATAGAAATAAAAGAAAACTTGTGCAACACATCCAAAATACGAAATGGACCTGTCATTCATAAGGGACACAACCATTGATTTGGGGACTATGGCTGAAACTGCACCAAGGTCCAGAATGGCCAAGTTCAATAGGAAGAAGTACATGGGGCTGTGAAGGTGGTAATCCATGATGATGGCAATGATGATGAGAAGATTTCCTGTTACTGCCGCCAGATATAATGCTAGGAATAGAAAGAAATGTAAGATCTGTAGTTCTTTGACATCTGAGAATCCCAGGAGTAGAAAAGTGGACAAAAATGTATGATTCTTGATATTGTCTTCCATGCCTACATACCTTCTGTACCAGGAAGAGAATGTATATTAAAATGCACTCATGATATTCTTATTCAAAAATGTTACCAACTTAACTGAGAAATTTACTAGAATTACTTTATGGATTCAGTCCCCAGGAAACAGTATTATTTCAGGACTGTAGCCCTACTACACATTCTTGTGGCAATAACAATATCAGTAAGAAAGTCTAAGGTAGCAGACACCATAATAAAAATACATCAAGAACACAGGATTAAAAAAAAAAAGCTTAACTAAAAAAGTCAGAGGTGACAGTTCAGATGCATGATTACCTTTTACCAATTCAGGAAATTCCACAATCAGGGTGAAGCATAAATAAATCCCTTACTTCCATCATGACATAAGCTATGCCTATTTCATGCATCATGGGAATGGCCTCCATGGCTTATCTTAAAGTGTAAAATAGTCTGCACTAGGAATGTGGTCTACATGGATCTGTCCTACATCATTCAGGATTTTGTGCAGAATTCCCAGGGCCTTCGATTAGGCTAGCTAGTCAAATTTCATAGTTTGTAAAAGCGCATCTGCATGCATGATGCACCAACTGCAATGCCTGGACAGCCTTCAAGTGTGCTGCCATGTAGGAACTGGAATACAAAATAGCAATCCAGTCCAGAGATGATCAAGTCTGAAGCGAGGCTATTCCAGTCCAGGGAAAGTCAGAGCTGATGGACCAAATATGCCCTCCATGGAAGGCAAATGATTTTCCAGTTAATAGTTTGACTATGACTCTATTCTAGCCCTATCATCTAATGTCATTTTTCGTATTACTTCCACAGAGAAACACCTTCAGATAGAAAACTGTGTTTTGTTAGGTTTAAAAATCATATTGGCTCTTACCTGACTTCTTGCAGTCACCAATCCAGAACTTCCAAAAAGGAGGAGGAGAAGTAGTAATTTAAAAAATCCTCTTCTTCAGGGAAAGGTGTGTATTGCCTAGGGTGAACCAAGGTATCTTGGCTGAAATATCACAAGCATTTCTTCCTACTCCATAACTGTCAAAACATCATAATAATTTTAGTAAGTACTAGTTTAACTTTTCATAATACTCAGAACAAGAGGTGTACCTTGGAAGACTTCTGAAATCTTATTTGGGTCAGACTAGTCAAAGAACTGACAGAGAATTTCTGGCTGAGCTTCCAGACAGACTTCAGCTCTAAAAATAGGTTCTTACAACCAGAGAAGGTTTGTACACCCAGAGCTCCCTTTTTTCATATCAAACATGTCCTGTCCGGCTGTGAGGATGTTTGCAAACCTACCTCTGGTTCTTTTGGCCAGGTTCCTGTGACCAAAAGAATCCACAAAAGGCAGCAGCAAAGAGATTTCCAAGCTTTTAGAGTAACGCATTTTATTTTGGCAATAATTTTTTTATGCAATCCCTACATTGTTTTAGCAACTCAAATAAAGCAGCCAGAATCAGCTTTGGTTGTATTTAAATAAATTCACACAATTGCAGGGAGATCTCTAGGGCAGGATGTTCAAATGTCATGTTTCCTCTCATTGCAAATGTATGGATTGTAGAAACATATCTTTCTATATCACATTTCAGAAAGAGGAAAGGAGAGAACGTTTACCTCTTAAGAAAGCACATCTGTTCTTCTCAGAAGATCTTTACATATAAGTTCCATGAAAGAAGTCACCAGATTTGTATGAACTTCCTGCTAATCCATATCATCTGGGGTTTGTGAGACTGTTGTTAAAAGGGCATCTTGAATGAAGGTTTGCATGCCTGTGTGTTTTAACATGCATTACTTCTGGTATTTATCACAGAGCCAAAAAGCATGCAACAAAAGTCCCAAGAGAAATTATTGTTGCTTGTATAGTGAAATTACTCTCTAAGAAAAGCAAAGTGCCAGGTCCTACACTCATGGGAAGATTACTCCAATCTACCTGGAGATGGAACAGTATAATATGCTCCTCTCCATCCCTTGATACATACTTAGCTTCATCCCTCCCACCCTATCCCTAAACTAACCATAAATCTATTCTTAAGCATAAACTGTTCTTCTCTTTGTTTAATAGAAACACTACTATTTGGGACAAAATAGGATTCTCCTCCACCCCACCACCATTTTCTACCAGCCCTTCCCTCACCTCTCTCATTAGCCACTCACTTGCTTACCTCATAATACTGCAATCTCTTGAAATTTTCCCCGTTTTTCCACACATAGTGATGTGTGATGTCTTTCTTAAAGCTTTTAATTAAAATCTAATAAATCGGTTTGCTGTTCTTGAGGCACAGCCATTACCCGAAGGAACCACCAGGAGCGAGGCTGAGGGTGCTGCATCAACACCTAAGCCGTGGCATTCTGAGAGGGGAAGAAGGTCTTCAATTCCAGCAATGACTGCGTCAACAACCGAATGTCAGGAGGCCCAAGAAGAGGTGATCAAAGTCTGCCCCCACAGTCAATATACCAGGGATGGTCCAAGCTTGGATTCAACATTTTCAGGTGAATGGTTCACATATGCACAGACCCCCGCTTGGCCTTGGGCCAGCAGTGGTCAGTTCAACAAGACATCATTTGCACCTTAGACTACACAAAATGTGGGGCTTCCTGGCATAGTATGGCCATACACCACTCCACAACTTAGTGGATGGGGCATGCCATACCCCACTTTAGCCCTAACAGCTCAAAACAACACCACAGCTAGTGTAGGGGTGTGGCCTTACTCTTCAGTAGCCAATACGGGCACTAACACCATTATGTTCTGCGCTCTTCCATATGGTGATTACTCCATGCCTTTGGGGAATCACCTCACCCCAGCAACTAAAGAAAAATATGACAGAATTGATATGTTGATTTATTTGATCTATTAAACAGATATGTAGAAAAGAAGGAGTTAGATAAGGAGGATGAAAAAGAAAAAAAGAGGCGGAGGCGAAAGAAACCCAAAAGGAATTGGGCAAACTGGCTGCCAGGTTTTTTAATCTATGCAGGTGTGAAAGTCAAAGCTCAACCATGGAGGGCTCAACCGCTATTCCAATATTTAGATACAATATACAAGGCATATATTGATTTCACTGGGATGGTGTGGCTTCTTTATGATGAAGCATTCAGGATGCGCAGCACAATTCACCCCAATATGCACTGGGTTGAAACCCAGCCTGGATTGTGGCTGCAGCACATGACACCTGCTAGGCCAAACATAGGGGAGAGATTTGATAGTGGACACTTGATGAAATGGTGAAATGCAATATAAAATCAGCATTTTGACTTTTGCCCATGTATCCCAGTGACTTTAACTTGTTAGGATTTCAGTTACAGGGCCGATGGGTTGTTCAGTATCATGTGCTGCATTTGAGAAATTCAGCACATTTATTGAATGGAAACTGAGGTGTACAATGGGCTGTAAGTCCATGGCCTTGATGACTACCTTTTCTGCAGTAAACAGAATTCAGTAAAGTGTAGTTTCATACTAAAAAGTGTCAGGCATTAGCAAAACAGCTTGGATTACTGCTAGCTGAAGAGAAAACTGAGGGGCCTACCACATCCCTCACCTTCTTAGGGATTGAGTTAGACACAATTCAGCAGGCATCAAGACTGCCTGATGATAAGTTAAGGATCTTAGGACTAGGATAGCAGCTAGTGTGGAAAAAACAGGTATTTCTCGGTGAGTCCCACTGTAAAATCAGGTAAGCTAACAGTGCATCGGACCTCCCGGGGCTACGGATCGTGCAATTACAGCACTTGGGGGGAAAGATGCGCTTGGCCACCATCAACAGTCATCAAATAAAGATGGCTCAAGGTCTGGGGGTGTTTATTAGCAGCCAGCCGGGTTCCTGCTGTCTTTAAAACCACGAGAACCTCGGGCCGGGGACTAGCCCATATAATTATTGATTTATCTGTTTCCACACTACAGCAGTCCCCCCTTTGCAAATTGATTGGCAAAATTTTTGGAATGAATAAGTGTTTGTTTGTTTGTTTGTTTGTTTGTTTGTTTGTTTGTTTATTCATTCATTCATTCATTCATTCATTCATTCATTTACTTATTTATTTATTTATTTATTTATATCCCGCCTATCTAGTTGATTAAGACCACTCTAGGCGGCTTACAAAAAACATACAACAATATATATATAAAAACAGTTTTACATAGAGATTAATGGCCCCATTCATCAGAAGAGAACGGATATTTCTAATGGTGATAGGGCTGAAGAAAAACCCAGAGAGTAACTACTAGGCAGCAGCAGCCACAGTGGAATGTTACACTTGTGGAAGACTTTTTCCATAGACAACAGCTGTGACATTTAAGCTAACTTTTACTATGAAGAAGAAGACAACAGTAAGCCACTGCTGAATAATTCTTACCTTGAAAATCCTATGATGAAACCATCCAAAATGAAACAAATAGTGCTAGAAGATGAGACTCTCAGATCAAAAGGCACTCAATAAGCTACATAGGAAGAGCAAAGGACAAGTGCAAATAATGTTGTAACTCATGACACAATTAGATTAAAGCTGAAAGGACATCTAGTGGATGACGTGCACAGAGGTGAAAGGAGAGTCTAATGCTATTTGACATATGTAATTGGAACATGAAGTGTAAGAAACATGAATCAAAATAAACTGGGAACCCCAGAGTAAGAAGTGGAATGTTTAAACACATTTCAGTACTTGGTGTCAGTGAACTGATACTTTTTTTAAAAAATTAGGAGACATAAAAACACTATAAAAGCATTAAAAACACTAAAAACACCAAAGCACTAAACACATCTATATACATATATATATCTTACTAAATATCTCCTACCTCCCTATCATAGGCCTTATCTATGGGCTATAACAGCTTGCATAGAAACGTCTTGCATAGAATGCCAAAATTGTTACTTTGAAGCTCATAGAGCCCGTGTGATCATTATACCAAATTGGTATATACCAATTTACAGATTCTATAGCTGCGCTTTAGGTTGACAAGGTTGGGACTCAGTTAGTGATGAGTTAGGACAGATAAACACTCAAAATAAAGGATTTAGAACAAGCATTCAAAGAGCAATCTTTGTGAAAGATTTATAAATCCTTAACACCACATATTAAAGAAAAAAATAGCAAAGAAACATGCGTGGAAAAGGAACAGAATTAGATGTTCAGAAAACAACTGTAGAAGAAAATGTTAGTTTTAAGAGTTTCCATAAGGCAGCCTTGATCTCTTTGTTTTTCATGCTGTAGATGAATGGATTCAGGGTGGGAGAAATTGTGGAATACATCATAGCAGAAACCACATCCAGAGTAGAAGAAGCATCACTGGGTGGTATTACATGGGCAAAGACTCCAGTTAAGACATAGAGAGAGACAACAGTGAGATGCGGAATACAAGTAGAAAGAGCTTTTTTCTGGCCATGTACAGATGGGATTCTCATCACTGCAGTAAAGATCTTCACATATGTTCTGATAATGAAGACAAAGCATCCTAGTACTACACTAGAACTTAGAGCAAGAAGCCCAACTTCAACTAAATAAACATCAGAGCAAGAAATCTTTAATAAATGTGGAATTTCACAGAAGAACTGGTGGATAATATTAGAACAGAAGGTGTTTGCAAAGGTGGCAGATGTATGCAATGTGGCATAAAAAACACTAAATATCCATGCAGTAGCCACCATTTCAAGGCAGGTTCCTTTGTGCATAATTCTACCATACTCAAGTGGGCTGCAGATTGCAATATGACGATCATGTGCCATTATAGTTAGGATAATAAAATCTAATGGTGCCAAAAGTAAATAAAAGAACACTTGAGCAACACACCCAGGATAAGAAATGGACTCATCCTCCATAAGGGAACCAGCCATAGATTTCGGGACTATGACTGAAATGAAGGCAAGGTCTATCATGGCTAAGTTCAACAGGAAGAAGTACATGGGGGTGTGCAGGTGGTAGTCAACAACAATAGCAATGATGATGAGAAGATTCCCTATTACTGCTGTGAGATACAATGCTAGAAATATAGAGAAATGGAAGATCTGTAGTTCTTGAACATTTGGGAATCCCAGCAGAAGAAAAGTGGACACAGAAGTCAAATTCTTCACATTGTCTTCAAGGGCTGCATGTTCTCTACACCAAGAAAAGAAAATATTGTTAAATTTCAATATTCTTATTTAAACCAAAGTGAACTCACAGTTTTACCAGAAGTTCTTAATGAAATCAGTACTAAGTAATTATATTTCAGGATTGTAGCCCTACTCCTTCATTGTTGTTTGAATAGCATTATCTGTATGGGTTCTAAGGTAGCAGACACCATAATAAACAAGACATCAAGGAAACAGAATGGAAAAAAAAATCACCAGAAAAACTTAAACGGAAAATGATACAATACAAATGTAAGGTTCTTCGTCAAGGTCACAGTTTAGGAGCCCTTTGACGAAGTTATTTTGAAATGTAAAATGGGATGAACCACATGTCCTGGTGAGGTTATTCTACAATCTGGGTGCCAAGCGCAGAAATCCTTTTCTTCAGTAACCAGAAAATGAGCTCTACCCACTACATGATTCTTGAGAATGGCATCCCTAACTTATTCTAATGTACAAAATAGTCTGCACTGGGGATGCAGTCCTCGATGGAGCTCTAACTTAAATCCTTCTGATCTTTATGCATAATTGCCAGCACCTTGGATGGGACCACCTGGTTCACAAGCAGTCAGTGCAGTACTTTGAAAAGACACAGCACATAAATGATGCACCAACTGTAACTTCTGGACAACCTTCAAGGGTGTTGCCATGTAGGAACTGGACTACAAGGGAAGAATCCACACATGGGAATATCAAGTTTGAAACTAGGCTATTCCAGTATATGAAAAGCCCGACCTGATGGACCAGATATGCCCTCTGTGGAGCACATCTGCCTCTTTGTGTATCTATTCTTGCCCCATTATCTATATGCCATCTCCCCTATTGAACAAAGAAACACCTTCTGATACAGAACTTGATTTTGACAGTCTTAAACATCAGTTCATTGGCTCTTACCCGGCTGCTTGTGGTTGCCATCCGGAACATCCACAAAGGAGAAGGAGAAGCAGTAGTAGAAGACATCCTCCTCAACAAAAAGAAACAAGGAAACAAACACCAAAGTATTATGACTGAAAATCTTACAAATAAAACAGATCCATGGCCGCCATCATCATCATCATCATCATCATCATCATCATCATCATCATCATCATCATCATCATCATCATCATCATCATCATCATCATCATGTATTCTCGAAGGCTTTCGCACAGCCACGATCCGATGGTTGTTGTAGGATTTTCGGGTTGTAATTGAACACTAACCCACATACTACACCAGAACAAAGAGAGAGTTCTAACTCCTGTCCTCTCCAGATGCCAGCCACAGAGACTGGCAAAATGTTAGGAAGAAAAACCTCCAGAACATGGCCAAACAGCCTGAAACACCTACAACAATAATAATCTTTGAACTGCAGAGTTGAAAAAGACCCTATGGAGTCATTGAGTCCAGCCCCTCTCAAGGAGGCACAGTGAAGAACTGAACTCCCAACCTCTGGCTGTGCAGCCAGAGAGATAAGCCACTGAGCTATCCAGCAGTTATATTAAATTAGATAGCTACAACTTTGACTTTTTCATGATACTCTAAGGAGGAAGTTAACTTTGGAAGACTTTCCGATTTTTATTTGGTTCTGCTAATACAACAATTGTCAAATAATTCCTGGCTTAACCCCCAAACAGATATGAGCTCCAAAAATAGTGTCTTGCAACCAGGAAGGGCCCAACTAGGACTTTGCTGTCCATATTCTGTCAATGGAATCTCTGCAAACTTCACTGACCTCTGTCTCTTTCTACCAGCCTCCTGTTATCACCAGATCCACCTGCACACACACACATGCACACACACCACACACACACAGAGAGACACACAGACACAAAGGAATTTTTAAACAACCCATCTGGTGCTTCAGATACTGAAACAAACCACCTTTCTTCCTAATTTGGAAGCATTAAATGCAATTCACATACATAATTATAGGGAGGTCTTTGAAATCTTTTCAAGTCATGTTGCTAATGCATGTATTGTAGAAAAGTATCTTCCTAAATCATGTTTGAGAGAGCTCATTTACCTCTTGATAAAACATCTCTGTTCTTGTCAGTTGATCTTTTCATAACAATCCAATGATTAAAGTCACCAGATTTGTAGGAACGTCTTGCTAATCCGTATCTTCCGCGGCTCAGCTACATGAGATTGTTGCAACAAGGTACAACAGATTTGCACATCCGTCTATTTTAACACGTATTACTGACAATATTTATCACAGCGACGAAACAAGTGTAATAATAAAGTCCCAAGAGAAATGATTGCTATCTGTATACCAAAATTGCTCTCTAGGAAAAACAAAGTGCAGGATCTTACACACATGGGAGAGGTGCTCCAATGCAGATAGAGATGGACTAACATGACTTGTTTCCCTCCTGCCCTTAAGATATGCTCAGCCTCAGCTCTCCCACCCTGTCGCTATCCCTATTCCTAATCTTAATGCTGAACAAACCTTACAGTCTTGTTCCCACCCCACCCTATGTATATAGCATCATGTATAGAGTTCATGTTATTTGGAAGCCAACATCAAGAATGACCTGATCAGCATTATCATTCCTAAATTTAAGAAAAATGGGAACGGGATGAATTTTCCCAACTAATCCCCTATAAACAACCTCTGCTTCATACTTGTTTCCCTCTGTGCATAGGGGAGGGGTGTGCCTCGCCACTGCATTACTATGGTTGTTATTCTGTTGTGCATTTGATTCCATGTAAATACTTATATCAGCCAATGTATTTTCATCTTTATCTTAAGATCTGAATTCAGTTCACTTTCCTGTGTTCATGTCACATGTGACACCACCTCAAGGGCCTAAAAGAGTGTCTAGGGCTGAAAGTAGACCGATCAGAAAAAATAAAACAACTTTTTTTATAGCTCATGATGCCAAACTCTCCTAAGGTTGAAAATTGTAACTAATCTTGTTTTTTTTTCCTTCTCCAGATTTTACACATACACTACAGCTTTTGATAATACATGATGGATCTTACAGCCTCACCAATTACCTGCCTGTCCTTTTCCTGCTTAGTCCATACAACACTCCCTTGCTCACCTATCATCTGCTGCCATTGCCAAGCCTTGATTCTTTTTCTTTTGTGACTCTCTGCACACATTGAGTGATTCTAACTTTTAAACCTGTAATTTAAGGCAATAATTAAAAGGGCCAGTTTGGATATTGCTCCCAAACACTTTTTTTAAAAGGCGGAGGGCATGATATTCCCACCATGAGACCTCTTTTCCACCCCAATAAATCTACAGCACACCTACTCACACCATTGTGTACTGGATTAAAACAGGAAAAAATGTGTGCCTACTTAAGCATGTACTCAAAAAGAAACCAGGCCTGTTTGCTACCAATGTGCAACAAATACATTTTCCTCAGTTTAATGTGAAACTTGAGTTTTAGACCAGAAGGCATGAAGAGATTTGTAACATCCACCTGAAGAGTCTAGAATTCAGATTCATGTCTGCACACCATTTAACATGCTTTTACAGTGGTGCCCCACTTGACAACAATAATCCGTTCCAGTGAAATCACTGTAGAGCGAAATCGTCGTCAAGTTAAAGTCTTCCCAGAAACGTAGGGGCACTTCGACCCCATTCAGATATTATGCATCAGTCCTTATAGGACGAAATAGATGCACACTCTGAAATTCCACCCCATCTTCCCATCTGAATGTCACTGAAACCTTCAAATGCAAAAGGGTCTTGAATCTTCATCAACCCTAGTTCTGCACTTTTCAACATAGAAATTCTGTCACACAGAAATATATTTTATAATATTTATTTTCAATGCCCTGGGTTCTGTCATTTTTGGATCCACACAGAAGCATCCTTGGAGTATATGAGAATGTAAGCAAATTCTCAACTGATTGGGGAGAAAAATATAATTGAGACAGGCCTCATTGGAAGATTAAGTTGGCAGTAGCAAGGGGGGAAAAAGCATATAAAAACAAAATTAGAGGTGGAGGGAATCTTGGTAGTGATGACAATGATGATGTTCGAGAAAGACGATAATTTAAATGTAACTAAAAATGAAACTATGGCCAAAGTTTCATGGCTTAATACTGCAAAAATAAAACTCAAGTAGGCCTACTGAATAAATAGGGATTTAGTGAGTCAAATCCTCCATAAATTCTATTCTTATAAATGGGGCTGTACTAAGTGTGACTAGAGATAGGCACAAATTAAAACTCAACACATTTGTTCAAAAATCACTAATTTGTTGATTCATATTCAGATGAATTAACATCCCTGTTGAATCACAAGTCAATGCATTTTTAGTGACTTTGGATTTGTCAATTCATTTAGCTATCAAATACAGCGGCCTCACCTACCGCTCCAGAACCTAGAGACACCAAAATACAGGGAAAGTTCATCTGACTCTTCTTTACAATCCCTTCAAGTCTGGTGAAGACTGGGTTCCCCAAAGCCAGCTGCTAAAGGGCACTTTTCTGGGGGAGCCCAATTTGTGGCTGTATAAATTGGATGTCTGAAACCCAATCTTCGCTCAACTTGGAGGGATAGTAGAGGAGAGTCAATAGACACTTTTCTGTGATGGTGGTGACTCTGGATGCCTGGAGAAAATTTTACAGGGGCCCCTACTTGTTGGTGTATAATGTGGATGTCTGAGAAATACATACATTCGTAATGTGTGATTTGTTGACCTTGATGAATCACGAATCAAAATGAATCATCATGTTTCTGATTCATGCCTATCTCTAACTGTGACTCACCAGGCCAAATTAAGTGACAACTATGGTAGACTTAAAGTCAATAGAACTTGAGGAGCAGCTGACTCACTAAATTAAGAGGTTGGAGATGAGTTAGTCATGAGAAATGGCATAGTAAGAA